AATCAGTCTGAATTTTAGTTCTAACAACATGGAGATTATATGTTTTGGAATCGGTAACATCCATCAAAAAGTGCTACCAAGCGTCCTAAATCACACTGAAGCCTTGAATTGTTTGATATTATGTACTGAGCAAGTGAAAAGATGACATGCACAACTTTACTATCTTTCCTGGTTGTACGTTTTTTAAGTCACCAAGTTTAGGAATGTTTCAACATGACTACTGTAATCACTGATTGATGCAACTTTATTACATAACAATTCTTACAATCTGCAATACATTGCAACTTCTAATATTAAGTAAAGTCTCTTATCTGTTTAAATTGTACATAACTATATTAGAACAGAATTAAAAGAAGTAACTGACTCATTCCAAGAGTGTCTGTTGTACTACAATACAATGAAATACAAAAATACACATCAGATATATATACTGAAATGGAAACATCACTTATAGTACACGTGTATTCTTGCCACAGTACAAGATACGGTGGTTTAAAAGAAATTCTACTGATATCAGATTTGTCATTGTGGGCATACAAATGGTGTTCAAGTCTGAGGCATTACTTGAAGATCACTAATACATATATTTTGCATAAATGCACAAATTGTAGGCAACACAACAACCACTCACTTCCTTGTCACCACCATCAATGGATCTTCAAACAAGTCTACTTCCCCCGTGGCAGCATGACTATGAACAGAGCCACCTGGCTTGTTCATTTTAGTCTGCGATTTTTTCTTTACAAGACCTGCTGTAAACAATGTATCTGTAACACATAATACCAAGTACAGTGAGACAACAGTAGTTCAACTTAAGTATAAATTCTAAGATGCCTACATTTCTTCAAATGTTTTTTATATATATGGTGACTACATGAATAATAATAAATAAAAAATTATGCTATATCTCAGATCTGTTACTATACAATAATTAATGACAATATATTAAGTGGTACTAGTGCTGTTCTCATCTCAAACATCTGCATAACCACCATCTTAGTACAAGTGATGGCAAGATATTAAAAATGTATGAAATTGGGGTATTGCCTTGTGCATGATATTCACATTAAGTTTCAATGAAAAATTATTCTGGTTCAAAGTTATTAGGTAGCACACACAAAAGAACACATGGCCATGGTGGTACAAGNAAAACTGGAAAATACATAGTGCACACATAACAGATGTGTTCAGAGAGAGAATTATTAAATGACATGCTAACATCCATACTCAAGTATTTTACACATTTATTCAGACCAGATCAAAATGGTATTTATATGCTTATGCTATATTTTAATTATATATATATTTACACGAGGGGGGACCCAAAAATAACCGGAAACGACCTGTTGCGAGCGCATGCTTTGTAGTTACGAGTTGTGCTGCTAGGTGGTGTTAGCTGGGGGTCTCCCGCGACTGTTAGTGAGCTGGCGTCAGTCTGAGTTAAGTGGTTTGTCTGTGGTGCTCTGTTGTGTGCGTTCCTGTTTCAACCCTTTGGCAATTAGTGAGATGGCCGACCAGAAGGAACAAATCTTTTAAGAAATTCTGGATCGTTCTGCACTTCACTCTTCAAGTCGCGGCAAACATTCACGCGGTTTTCTCTTTGGTCATCTCCGAGCAAGCGAGGAACAAATTTTGCAGACACCCGTCTCATGTGCAAACCTTCGGTTAAAATTCGCTGGACCGTGCTCCATGAGATGTTCGTTTCCTCAGAAAGTTGGTCAATGGTCTTTCGACGATCTTCATCAATTGCACGTTTGATTTTGGCAATGTTTTCGTCATTTCTTCCTGTCGAAGGACGCCCGGGGCGTGGCATGTCTTCTGTTGACATGTTGCCAGATTTGAAACGGGAAAACCACTCGTAGACCTGTGATTTCCCCAAAGCATCATCATTAAAGGCTTGCCGAAGCATCCCAACAGTCTCGGCTGCAGTTTTCCCTAACAGAAAGCAAAATTTCACGCACACTCTTTGTTCCTTCTGGTCGGCCATCTCACTAATCGCCAAAGGGTTGAAACAGGAACGCACACAACAGAGCACCACAGACAAACCACTTAACTCAGACTGATGCCAGCTCACTAACAGTCGCGGGAGACCGCCAGCTAACACCATCTAGCAGCACAACTCGTAACTACAAAGCATGCGCGCACAACAGGTCGTTTCCGGTTATTTTTGGGTCCCCCTTCGTATCTATACACATCTACAAAATCAGATGGGAGGAAGCTTTGTTTAATTATTACCAAGACTAAAGAGACTATGGTAATATTCAGGTGTGTCTAAAAGTCTACTGTTCATGGTTCATTAATCCCTTTTTTTTTCTTGGCACTACAGCCCCAGTGGGCCTAGGCCTATCTCCATAAACTTCTCCGTTCACTTCGGTTTTTCTAGATCTTACACATTCGGTAGAACCTTGGGCGGGTGATCAGCTCATCACAAGGCCTCTACTTGTACACAAACACAGAAAAACGCACACACACAAACTAAACATTCATGCCCTAAGTGGGATTCAAACCCACGATCCTGGTTTCCAAGCGAGCGACGACAGTACATGCCTTAGACCGCTCGGCTACCATGACCAGTTCATTAATCTTCACACGTTCAGAAGACCAACACTTATTGCTGAATATACAAGCTAGGAAATGTACCATTAGTATAAAATTATGTTTTAATTACCTTGAAAACCATAAAATGCAAGAACAAAGTTTATTAGGCATAAAGGTATGTGTATCCTGTGCTTACAGTACTTAAGCACATCATGATGGTGTATGGAGAAGTGGAAGTATAGCTCCCTGCATTCATAACCTCAGCACTAGGCAGAGGTCTCTGTCAATACCCGACCCCCCAAAAAAAATGTTAACAAAAATGTGTAGCACTTCATCCAAGGAAACAGCCCCCAATACCAAATGGATGGGAGGATAAGTGGTCCCAGAGCCAGTGTGGATGCTGCAAAAAAGAGAAAAAATCTCTTGCTCCTGCCTGGAATTCTAGTTCCCTGGTCATCCAGCCCACAGCTTAGTTACCATACTGAGTGAGTCATCCTGGCTCCTGGAGCAGTACAATGGACTATCCAATTAACTAGAGATGCCTGCTCTAACAAACCTGAAATTCATTTTTAATAAGTGAGCCCACACAGCCCCTTTGAATCCTGAGGTTCATCTATAGTGCATTTACAAATTCAGTTCCTATCTCACAGAAAACACACTACGCTTCCATTAAGAAGAGCAACTGTATAGTGAGTCACAGTCTATTCTGTGAATTGTACAAAACACATAAATACAGTGCGTACAATGAAGTGCGCGCCGCGGCTGCAATTTGCCGTGAGTCATACCACCGCAGAACGGATGCAACTCCTCCCCGCGACTGCAATGCTCCTACGCCGATGGTCGCATAATCGGAACCCGAGGTTGCATTAAACAGTCAGTCTTTGTCTTGCTGTGGAAGTGGAGTGGAATGTTTACAGCTGTCGACAGACGGTGGAAATGAAGTTCACTATTAAACAGCGTGTGTTTATTGTCGAAACTATTGCAAGGAAAAACATTTACAGAAAATTCGCACGTAGGTTTCGTCAGAAATATCCTGACTCGCCAGTTCCCACAAAGTCGTGTGTAAACAGGCTTCTGAAAAAGTGGCGGGCCACAGGTTCAGTGAGTGACAAGAAGAAGCAATCGAAGAGAACTGT